ACCGTCTGTATGTATAAATATGTAATAATTAACGAAAATACTGCATTATAAAATACTAAGTTATAGGGATATGTTTTCCCGACGCGACAATAATTAAGAATTGCTTCTGATGTTCCTCAGAACAGCTGCATAGGAAGAGTAATGTATACAGATGAAATAATATTAAGAAATCTCTCCTGTCTCAGACATGGCACAAGTGCTGGATTTAGACTGTTGTAATATTTTCGATAAATATTTTACTGCGTTCGAATGAGAGTGCAGACAGTAAACTTCATATGACTTGTATATATGCCTTGAGGAAAAGATATGGGTACTAAAAGCAGGAGGGTGAAATGATGAAAGTAAAGTAACAGGAAACATCCATTCAGTAATCGAGAGGAAAACATAATGATCTCTTTGGATTGGGAAAAATGCCTGTATTAAATTTAAAAATAGGAATATATATATGTATCGATACGTATTATGGTGCAGAGTAAATGCCAAATATCTGTTCTCCAATTTGAGACTTCAGAAGAATAGCTTATTCCGGAGAAGAAAAATGTAACCATATGTATCATTTTCTTTCGCTTTCATATATCTCTGTGTTGGGGGAATGAGTCCTATCCCAATTGGGATAAGCAGTGTTTCAACACACATGGTAATTCATTTGAGGTATTGCTTTTTACTGCAAGTCTTAGCAATTGTGTCGTCACTTATTTAAATTTAGTCTTTATCTCACTACTTCTCTTATTCCGCATAAGAGTATTACGTCCTCTGGATAAATAAGGGTATTTAGGAGATGGAATTTGAATAACGCGTACTTTAAGAGCAAAATCCGAGAATAAGAACTCCACCTATCTCTGCAGCTTAACCGGAAAATTTTCGTAATTTGATCCTTTCCGTTCTCCTCCTCGTCTTTCTCTTTTTGAGCTTTACTGAATGAAAAAGAAGCTGGGAGTTAAAATCCTTATGTGTTTTTTTTATAATAAGTGTGTGTGTGTAAATCCTAATAATGAAAAGAGCAGAAATAGGGATTAGCTTATATTATATTTTGACTGTTCGTTCATTCATTATTTAAAAATTTATTGGAATATCGTTAATCGTCTTAAAGATTCACTTTTAACATATCCGTGAGACTTCACCTTCATATGCTATATGAGATGATCTTCGTATCCTCTGATAAAACCTTTCTGAGAATTATACTAAATTATAATAAGGAGAAGAATAGTAATAGCTAATAAGCCCCATTAAGAGGAAAGAATAAGTACGTATATATATGCTTCCTCAGTTTCCGTTCCTGCACTTATGTTAAGGCGGTAATCTTTCTATAGGAAAAACAGATATATTTCTTTTATTCATTGTGAGGAATATTATATTCCCAAGTGCAATAGGCATTGCAAAAAAATTCCTGTGTTTTTTCCTCTTTTTACCTATAAAATCGATAAGGAATATGGTATATTCAAGGAAGCGCGGCACCGATTTCGGGGCGCATATTTTAGCAGAACCCTGTAACATGGGGAGCAAGGGAAGGCCTTTAACAGATCGTAAACGAAACGGGACGGATAGAAACAGGAAACAAGCATCTTTCCTTTCCAAAGGATTAGCTATCCTCTTTGTTGTTTGTGTTTCTATCTACTTACAGGTAAGTCCAGGAAAAAGATGGGGCCTAATGTGGATGATAGGCACACCAAATAGGACCCTCTAAGGGCGCTACTTGAGATGCGAATAAGGGCAGGCCTGTACCTATATACATCTATTTATTATTTGCTTTACTGACCAGCCCCCGCCGCCTCCCTTGGTCGTTGCTGAGGCAATGACATCCCGTATATGAAATGCTGTCATGAGTTGGGCGGTGTATGCTCAGGGTGATACTACATATCATATTTAAGATTACTTGTATAAGTCTTACTGTTCTCTTTTCTTTTTCTTTTTTTTCATTTTAATTCTTCCTATAATTCCTTTCGCCATGATCGCTTCAGCCTAGGGAAGGAGTGCGACGCGGCAATGTTACTACGAAGTATGAATTAGATAAGACCGTCGCTAGGATGTTAGCCAACCCACAGGAAACCACTGAATATGACTTTCAGTTGAAGGAGCTTGAAATAATAACACCTCAAGAGTTTGAGAAGGGCGATGAGACGAGCAGTGGATCACCAAATGAGGATGTAGAGCAAAAAAAGGAATACGTCAGTAATGATCTCATGAATGAAGGAATCTATTTCTGTACATTGCAAGAATTATGTGAGTCAATAGATAATCCTGATAAGGGGGCGGACGAAGGATTAGACAAGGGTAAAGGAGACGACAGGACAACAAGAGAAGAATCTAATAAACATAAAGAGCAGGACGGGAGACAAGGAAATAGGGAGGAATCTTTCTGGAGAACGAGAGGCATTGTTAGAAGCACAGCAGGGGAAGTACCGGAGCCTGGCGAGAGATCATTAACATATGATCAGATCAGGAATCTTTATAATGACGCCCAAGGGGACAAATTAATATCTGGAGGATCTGAGACAATAAAGAAATACAGGGATCTCAAAGTCTGTAGTTTCTGCTCCCATTATACCTGTCTTGATGAGCGATTGAGCAATAATGAAATAGATACCAAATTGGAGCAGGTGCAAGAGATGCATGAGAGCTGGGAATTATCCTTCTTCTATTGGCACTCCTACAGGAATGGGAGAGAGCAATATTATGCAGTCAGGAAGTATTTGCTAGAGGAATTATTAGGATTCAAAAGGAACAGAGATCCTATAAGTCTCGGGGACTATAACCAAAGATGGGAAGAGTGTGAAGAAATAATCCGTAATAACTTTATAAGGCAACACAAGTATATTGCTAATGTATACTATACATTAATATGGAGGAGCCAAATGCGTAGTGATGATTTCAGGAAGATATTACAACACCTCAACAACTCCTGGGACGAAGTCACTATAGACACAAGGGACAGATGTATATCTGTCATTGAGGGCCCACCAAAGAAAGAGCGAGGGATAATTCGGGATGCAGGGGCCGTGAGAATCCTGGAGGCAAAGGAGAATTGGTCAGATTACTTGTATTCTCCGTTTTTCCAGGATCTCTTCAAAGAAATTATAAGGGGTCTCCCACTGGGGGAGTAGTAATAGAGTACAATGAATCAAGAGGTGAAGTTCTGCGATGGGGATGTGACCCTAATAATGATGGCAGTAAGAAGAGAGGGTTGCTTTAACAGAGAGTAATATTATGTCATGTATCTATATGTACCTATATAATACCTTCAGAGCTGATGCTCAGAATGAGGCTAGCAAATTAATTATGGCCTGGATCATTCCAGTGGTAGAGTATGGTTCAGGGTTCAGGGGCTACGGTTTAGGGTTTCGGCTTTTGGCTTCAGGGGGCCACGGTTTACTTTTTAGGGCCTAGGGCCTAGTAGGTTGCCTGCATGCCTCAGGATCTATGATCCAGGATTTAGGCTTACCGTTTAGGATTCAGGTTTAGGGCTGTTGGCGTCCTTTCAGTGTTGACGCTTTACGGGGTCTCGTTCTCTGCTCTCGTTGTTATTCGTACTGTTTTTCATTATTATATATATTCATTTATGTGAACGGAATGTCGTATTAACATATCTCTAGACATCGCTTCTTGTGATGCAAATGTGATAGAATTGCAGTTCCAAACAAGAACCTTACAAGCAATTCCCTGTTTATGCGTTGTATTATGACTATCATCCTGTATAGGGATATACTGCTTCAGATATTATTGGTATTGTCATCTTAAATGTGGTGCTCTCTCCTATTTTATGTGTTGCACTATATAATGCAAACCTACAAATGTATTAATGCATCAGATGAGGTGTTAATAATAATACACTACCCTGTATATCTCCCCTTACACATATATTTCCTTCCTATCTTATCGTAATGATTTTTTTCCTTTCCAGGATTCGTATGTTCAGGGTCTTGTATTTTATATCTTAATTCTTAAGGAGGACACCCCAGTCGTCAGATAAGTAGAGGCAACTTACTTGGTGAATTAATCCCTCCTCTTTTACATTAAGACAATCATAGTAATAAAGAATGACTCTTCTGGAGTTGTAAATTTTCCTTGCTTTGATAAATTTATAATATATGATTCAATAGTAAATCTGACTGTAATATAACATTTTAGATGCTTGTCTAGCAGTCAGAAGAGGAAGAAGTTTATAATAAGATCATTTTTTCTTTTCGTATGAGAATTTTGTGCCCCATACAATTCATATGTAGATATTACTTTGACGGAGCTATGTGTTGTCGTCAGTTGAGACGCATATGAAGAACAGAGATGAATATAATTATTACCGCAGACAAAGAATTACAACTGTTGCCGTTATAAATTATGGCATGCTTTCTCATATGAGCTATGATGCATAGAGGAATTCATCATATTGTGATAAGCACTGATATCAAAGTACAAAATGTTCATTAATACTACGAACCTTTTTGTCCTTATTTTACAGAGGGACTTGTAATTTTAGGTTGGAATAATAGAAAATCTGAATAAGTATATGGATCCGTCTATATAGGTATCTACATATCTGTAACTATTGCTGGACTACCTTATCATTAATATAGATGTAAATAATTATTTACTTGCAACAATAATATATCAAGATTGTAATCTTACCCAGACACAATCAATTATTACAAGTGAATCGTCACTTCATTTGTGTATGTTAGGATTCTGTATAACCAGAGTAGACAACTGTTTCTTATAGAATCATATCCATGGCTTCGATATATTATAGTATAGATTTGTATCGTCAGAAAATTATTCCCTCGGGAACTGAGCGGTGAACTTACAGAATTACCAATAATTTCTTGTATAGTTATAGAGAAATAACACAACTAATTATTTTAGGGATCACAACACGGACCCGTACTACCGGCTTTAGGAAGAGTCCTTCCTAATATGCCATATGCTTATATCAAATCTATCTTATAGGTTGTCAATTCTCCATATTAATCTGCCCCGTATAGATGTATGCGCATGCGATAGGATTTCTATGATAAGGGGAAAGAAAAATATTATGACAAAGAATGCTTCTTGAGGAAATAAATGAACATTTTGTATCTTCAGTAACGAAGGTACAAAGATGTCAATGCATCAGAGGAATTTCTCGCTTTTTGCCTGTTACACTATAATGGACATTCCACTATATTGCTAATATATGGAAAAAAATAGCCCTATCCAGTAAAATCCTTTAATTACTCCTTAACTAAGCTGCCCATGAACCCTTATTGGGCAGATTAGAGGAAAAAATTCCAGCTTATATATGAGAGAGCTTAACAATTGATTTAATCTGATTTCTGACGAATGAATGAATACTTCTTCGGCGCTTATTAATATATCTTAGTTTTGGGACTTAATGTAGTTATTAATGCACGTATTTACAATTATGTACAGAGGATGTTTATAGATCAATTTATTTCGGCAAAGTTATAATGAAATTTCGCTATGCATAGAAAGAGTATTGATTCCTTCCATTATATATCCTCTAGAGAAATATGAGAAATCTTATCTAAGGAGAGGAGTGACAAAGTCGATATGAATACCGTACCGAGCCACTACTCTTCGCTAATGTGAGAAGGGATCCTCAAATTAGGCGAAATGATGTAGGCATAGGAAGGCAAAGAAGTGGGAAATCTTGGTAGTGATTCAGAGATATGCTTTACTCTAGCAGATGTATCATACAGAAAAGGATATTTATAATGGCCTATTATGACATTGCAAATAGACACTGTATAAATATTCTTCCGATTCAGGGAGGACATACCATAAGTATTAATGAACACCGTTGTGAACGGCTAGGTGTGTATTTAGTAAATGTAATATCTAACAATAGAATTCTAAGTTGCCTTATTGGTCAGTAGCACTGTTGTTACAGTTATATTGGAATCTTATCTTCTGTATTTTCAGTATCTGAGCATGAATAACGTCTTCGGGATATATTTAAGGAGTGATCGGACAATCATTCCTTAAGAACGAGAAAATAAAGAATTTGTACATTTCAGTTTTGAGCGAGATATATGCTCAGAATGGGGAATCCATTAATATAATTTGGAAATTCCTTCTTAGCTTAAACTATAAGGGGTTTATTAAAATATGCTCTATGTTAATTTAACGGGACGCAGAGACAGAATATCCTGTGGACAGATAGTTCATGTTTGTCCGTCATGTTATAGGAATGTCGTTCCTAGAATAGGGGCAGAGTCATTTCAAGGGAATATTCACACATGTATACTCCAGTTATATGATCTTATACAATAGATTCCGGTTTACCGACTGCATTGTAATTAGAATTAGTCATAATATGGTGTCCTTCTTTGAAGAGTGCAAGACGAGATTGGTGTAATTTGAAAACGTAAAACGATTTTCATAAGTGTTCTCAAATGGAGCGTCCCTATCCCTACCGTTAGCTCTGGTTGGACCCGAACAGAAGGAAATATAGAAGAATAGGTGAAATGAGGAAGAAGCCAGTTGCTTCTTAGTGTGATCCTTACATGTTAATTTCGGTACCAGTTAATAAATTTCATAAGGAACCTTTTAATGAGAGGAGGATATTTATAAGAAGAAATACTAATTTTCAATTATTTGGTAATTATCTACGATAAGAAGATCTAAATAAGAAAAGAGGAGACTTCATGACTATGGTGCCAATACATGAGGTGTCTACAGATCATATTTAAGAGCCTCATCGGCATATCCGGTACATATTGTTGTGGTAATTATTAAGAGGAACTATTAACCCGTATGACGCTCTTATTTGTTTCCTTAAATTATAGAAGATTGAGAGTGTGTACATATGAAAAGTGCGTGTAGTACTTCGTACATGCAGTAGTGATCATGTAACAGGTGGAATTTTCCTGAAAATATCGTAAGAATACTATTAATAATAAGAAGTATATGGAGCGATGAAAGGAAAAAAGTGTTTATGGTATTGTTGCCATGGTCTGCCGTGTGTAATGTATTTACTGATGCTAACATAACCGTATTGTGTGACCAAAGAAAAGTAATCTAAGGTTTGTTCAGACAATATAACAATTCACTTTTCAAACGTACTGCATCGTATATGCAGTAGGATCATCTGTGACTGAAATAACTTTCGGAAACTTTATGATTATTCCTTATGAGTTACTTGAATCCGAATTGTTCATCAATCTGCCCAGTCATTAAGTAGCTTCCTCATATACGTATTCCTCAAATTCCTATATTTCCAGTTGGATTTCATTAATGAAATCTGTGCATCGTTAAACCATGAACAAATTTCAGAGATGCGCTCATTTTTCTTAATCATTTCTGTCTGAATCAAGATTTCATTCCAATCCGTTGTTGTATGAGCGGCAGAATGGACAATAAGTACTATTGCTCTTGTTCTTTGTGCAGAGAACCGATATTTTAAAGTATTTTTACGAGAAAATGGAATCCTCTTCATTTGATGTATGAAATCCATGGTAATATTTAAATAGAGATAGGTAAGCATGGAAATTGTTATTGGCTGATAAAACATCCATCAGTTTCAAGAAAAAATCATCAGACGTGTCTTTGTTAATTTCCTTTCTGGTTGTTATCTAATAGGTGTCCAAGACATTCATTACCTTCCTGTTTAGAATGAAATATTTTCATGTACACTTCTTGGAACAATTAGGCGTCTTGAGTAATGTTCTCATAACTCTAAACAATATATCATTTATATTCATATTGGATTTGCATAGATCTGCGGGGATATATGAATATAGTTGAGAAAGCACATTTAACTTAATGAGGGAGGGTATTTCTCATATGTTTCCATATTACTTATGTCCTAAAATGGACATAGGAGGTATATAGTAAACGCAAGGATTTGTTAATAATACTCTTTATGTTCAACTCCGTAGTCTTATTGTCCAATATACGGAGACTGGATAGTTTTGGGATTTGCATCGAATATAAGCTAGATTCTGCTGTTGTGTGATACGCAATTGTGGCGCATGATCTCTCCAGACTGTTAAAACAAGAATTAGGTGTACCATAAAGAATCCCATTCGCTAGCCGTATGTAATATGAATTCTCTCTTATCTTTATATTTTCTGAAATGTAGTTTGCACTGCTTCCTTCTTTAGGGGGAGAGGGTCCTTTGGTCATTGTGAACATCCACGTAAAAAGTAGAAATTGGTAAAGTGGACAATGTACAAAGCAAAGTTCGTTACGATAAGTGGTCATTCGTCTGGCAATCGTGCAAAATGAATAAATATTTGCCGAAAACTCCTCATAGCAATATGTGACAATTAGAATGAATCATTTGAAAAATGTGCTTAGCGTGCTTTCTTGTCAGTGGGGCGACTGAGATATGTAAGATTTACGTATAAATATCTAGCGTATATATCTCAATAGGTGGTTTCGACGAGTGGAACATTGGAGAAATTATTACGGTTTCTTCTTTTTTATCCACTTTCTGATACATTTTGCAATATTAGACACATCCTTCATTAATGTGTATTCATTGCACTGTGAAACTATGATGGCGGAGTGGAAAAACAAGTAACAAGCCATCTTCTTCTAGAATACCTGATCCGCTCAAGTCAGAAACGAACTGTGGAACATATTTCTGCTAAGTATTCAATTAATAATTAACTGAAAGAATTCATAGTTATCCATTTTGAAAACACAGCGCTCATTCATGTGAACCTGCTATTCTTTTAGAGGATATACCCCTCTGGATATTGAGTTGTAAGATCAGCTGAGGACCTTATCATGGTGTTAATGAAACTGTTAAATCTATCACTACCTGAGTTTCATATTAATTAAAGAAGAAATCCATTTTGAATCAGAAGATTGAGTAGATGGGAACAACTATTCGGGTGAATAGTAAGAGTTAAGCATTCTTCTCCATACGATAGAATATGCGAGGAACAAAATATTGCAATAACTATATTTGACGGTTCCTTTCGTGGGATTACGCAGACCTTTAAGTACTACGAAGGTGCTAACGCGGTTTCATTAATTTGATCGAGACGATTACCTATTATGGGGAAAATTTAACAGGAAGACAAACGGAAGCATACGAGTATTACCTCGGTATTTAAAGGAACCTAGCGTACAGCAAAATGATGATATGTCAATCTGAGGCAAACCCAAATCGATAAGCAATGACGAGAATAGTGATACACCAATTGATTGTGATTATCCCCAAATATATATGATAGAGGGGAGGAGAAGAATAGAGAAGGAATTGTGGGAGATGTTATAATATATTACAACGAATACATCACAAGAATTAAGAAAAATCTGCAATATCAAATCATTAATAGGAACTGAGAATAAGATATATATGTGAGTATAGCCGAGTTTTCCATTCCGCATATTATGAATTGTAGTAGAATAAGGAGCAAAATAAGGCACTCTTCATTTGGACGTATTAAGCGAATTTACATTATGGGTCTGAACTGGGGATTCATCAACTCCAAGAGGCAGAGGGCGGAGGTTGGGCGAAGAAATACAAGTAATTTAAATCCCTCTATACATTGCTATCGTTTATTGATAACAGTCTACCTCTTGTTGACCTCTCTACAACTTACCAGGGAACATATATATACTCATGGATATACATATATGTATATCTCTTCCCTTCTATATATGGGATGAGTTCTCCTGTCATACGGATAAGAACTGTTAACCTGTTGAATTATGATACCCATCTGGTGTTATAGAAGAAGGGGATACCCAAGAACACAACGAGAAAGGAAAAGAATGGTACCAGTGGTACACAGCCTTACCCAGAAAGAAAAAATACTTAGCACTATATGTAGATTCCGACTGGAAGATTGTTCATTTGGCATAAAAAGGTGATCGCTAAAATTACACAATTGTTCATGACGTGCCTTATCTATGCATATATAGAGGGAATAATGGATTGTTGAATTTGAACTGGTATAATATGAGTTCTAATTTCATATTGAACTTTAATTGTAGGTTGCATACGATTAAAAATGCTGCTATACCGTTTAAATAAGTTCATGCCTTTTTATTGAAACTCCTCTGAGTACAATGGAATAGAGATATGCGGATCGAATGGGTACAGCGTGAAATGGTGAGCCGCTGTTCCTATATGGTTTCCTTTATAGTTACCTTACTTTTGTGAATGCGTCCCTATGCCCCATCCTCTTCGTGATGGCGTCTTTTGATGTTTTGATATTTTCACCAGTACTCCTTCGTATGCTGCATTCTTCCTGTGTATGTCTTCTCATGTTTAGGCATTTTCATATGTGTGTTAATTCATATCGAAACTTCTTTGCTTATGAGTCCCCATGCTGCATAGTGCTTGTGGATGTGCCTTCGTGCTGTATTCTTCCCATGAGTGTGTCTTCTCATGTTTCTGCATTCTTCTGAAAGCATTTTTTCCATGGCCCCCCTTTCCTATATATGCGTCTTCGTATGGCCAAATTTTGCGAACGCAGTTTCATTTGGGGTAATTTCGCAAACGTCGCCTCATGTCGTGTAATCCCTGTGAATGTGTCTTCATGTTGCATAATTTTCCCCTGACGTGGCATCATGTACCATAACCCTGCCAAAGTCCTCTCAGGTGGATCAATTTCTGGGGGATCCTCTCATGTGTTATATCCATCGCCCGCGTGCTGTTCTGTTTCGCTTCATTATATATATTTTTCTATTTAATTTTTTCATGAGAATACAGCTATCTGTGCCATTTCTTTCAGGAAATTTTTTTGGAGGGTCTCTTTATGATGGCATTCCTCGCAGCATCCTTATGAACATACCACTTCCCCTGGCATTTTTATGAATATGCGCTTATCTGTTGCATTTCTATCACTATTTTCTCTGTGTCGTCTTCCCATTATGATGCTTCTTTTTCCTACAGTCTTATGATGCTCTGCCTCGGGGTCATGGCGCTGTCTTCGTCTCACGTCAATGTGAGAGGTATTGTTTTGCCGCGGCACTCTGATGCTTTTTCACTGTATTGCAATTTTCTAAGGAGGCTTATATGTGACATGTCATTATAATAATGCTTCTTTTTGTTACATTTCTGCATAACTACATCCTTCCTGTTGCGTCAATATGAAGATGTCTCTGTGTGTGGTATTTCTTTTAGGATAATATTTCTTGTTCGATTTTCCTGAAGTTTTGTCCTTTTATGTTGCGTCATTTTAAGGTATCCTCCTTGTGGGACATCTTCTTTCCCATGATTCATTTTACTGCGTTGTACTTTTAATATATTCTTCTGCTTTTCATTCTTTAGAGATGGCTCTTTCTGCTGTGTCACTATGAGGATTCTTGTTTGCGCTGCATTCCTTTTCTGATAATACTTTTCCCTTCGGGTGGGCTCATGAGGTTCCTCGTGCCACGTCATGAGATTTCCTGCTGGTGTGGCATTATTCTTACGAAGATTTTTCTTATAGCGTTATATTTATGATATCTTCTTCGTTGGCACTTTTATAAAGATGTTACTTCTTCTTACCATGTTACTGCGAAAAAATCTTTTTAGGAGTCGCTTCTCTTTATGAAGATATTTCTTCTACGCGGCATTGTATATGATTTAATTTTTCCGCGACAGCATGAATATACTGTTGTGTGTCATTTGATTTATATGGATGCTGTTTCCTCTCGCGGCATCGTGAAGATTTTTCTCTGTGTTTCATATTTTCTACGATGATGTACGTTTTTCGCGGCATTCTGAAGATTTCCTTTCGTGTGTGATTTTCTCTATGAAGATGCCCTTTTTCCGAGGCAATGCTAAGATGCTGTTTCGTGTTCTATTTTCTTTATGAAGATGCTTTCTTCTCCTGCTAGCTGCCCGACGTTTTCTTGTCTCGTCCTTCTGAAGATATTCCTTGCCGCGATTATTGTGAAAATTTTTCTTGAGGTCACATCATTGTGAAGAAACCATTCTGGGTTCATCCTCGTTGATATGTTGTACTGTATGTCATGCCTCTTTATTAGAATTTCTTCTTCCGTAACATTGTGATGCACCTTCCTTTTTGTTTTCTATGTGCAGCCATTATGAAGAGATTGGCTTCCTTGGGCTATTTATCAGGATTGCCACCGAGGTTAAGTGTAAATATCATGACCATACTGATGTGGTAGCATTAGCAAACAGGAATAATATATCGATGTGAAGAATGGCACCTTTACTTCTGGTGTATTATTGCTCTAGAAGTGATGATGTTGATGGAGTACTATTAGGTGAATAGCAGTGTTACCTAGATAACCCTGTTAATTAAACAGCAGAGTTGTGTCAACGGTAAGAAATTTCTTGGAGTGTTATTGCAGAGAGGCTGCTCATGTGTCCGTAGTACCCATATGTGCAGAGTATTGACATGCTTATGGTTTCGTTACATGAACAGGACAAACCCGCCTGGGGTACTTTTGTTTGCAGAATAGTCATGTGCATTTCTAAGCGTGGTTCAAGCCGTGATGAAGGTGTAGTACGGTTATGTGAAGTGCATATATATCCTAGAATTTTTACTTAAACCGTACTAAGGTGTTTGGATTCTCAATAGTCCACAATCCCGAGATTCCCATGGCACTGTTATAAAAACATCCTAGTACCTCAGCTATCCGCATGACCTCCAGTGCAATCATACTAAGGTGTACCATTATGTGTTGTGAATTATGGCATAATAAATATCATTATATTCAGAGTAGTATGTTATGGGAAAGTATGTGTGTACGAGCAGTACGGTTATGTTCAAAGTATTGTTGTGTGGATAATACTTCTATTTAAATAGCGGAGTCTTCTACTGATTATTCATGATTCGCAATGCCAATATGAAGAGAGTACACACGCGTGTATAGTACTGATATGTGGAGATAGCGGATGTGCTCGGTGCATCGCTATCTGGATGGTGGAAAAGTCGAAACAGCAGTATTAATTGATGTATTTGGGTGATAGGATATATGTGGCATAACCTTCTACCATGTGCGGAGAGCTATTGTATGAAGAGTGCACAATCTGGCATAATATTCTTATGTAAAGGATACTTTTCCTCCCAGTGTGTTAATGTGTGGAGTGCAGGGTTAATTGAAGGAAACTAATTTTATGTTGGAAGCGGTGTATCACGAGAAATAACCTTATCCTTGGATTTATGAGGATGTCAAGTGTTTTGAAGTGTAATGACTTCATTACATGACGTGCAGGATGGCGCAAATTTTAGGGGTCATCTATAATACTATTACGTAAAAAGTATTGTTACTCCAGGAGTACTATGATATTAAGAGTACTTTTTCGTCTTGAGTATTGCTCTTCCACAAATGCTATTGTGCTACGGGCACCTTCTTATCAGAAATTATGTGACTTCATTAGTAAGACTATTTGTGTAGTACTATTCTTTAGAGAGTATCCGTCTACAAGGAGTACCGTTATGTTAAATATACTCTTGTTTGAATAATACATTCATTTGAACTGCACAGTTGTATGGGAAGTATCGATGACTCGAAGTATCATTCTGTGAAGAGTGAATAAGTATATGCCGTACTCATATCTGCGGAGTCTTCAGATGCCTGGTACGTCATTATTCGAAGAGTGAGAAACTTACGACCGTACTGTCAAGTAATGTATCTTCAAGTCGATAAGATATATGGCATAATGTTTTATTATATGCAGAGAGTTACACTATGGAGGGTATGACTGTTCACGTAATAGTTTTATATGAGGGATACTATGGTATCAACCACGTGGACCTGTTCAGTGTTGCGTCATTTGAGGAGTATTACGGTTATATACGGAATGTTGTCCCTAGATGAACATGCCTGTCTTTGAAGTGGCATTATTTGAAGGGTCTGGATTTAATTTTAATGGCCCAGTTATATCAAGTACGGGATTGTACAATCCCTAAGAAATGTTAGCAGGACCATTGTTTCGATAGTACTATGCTGCCAGGAGTACTATGATATGAACCGTACTTGTGTGTGTGAAATCTTCATATTCCACGAGTGTCATTATTTGGAGAGCACTATTCCGTCGAGTGTATGAATATTACAACCGAACTATTGCGTGCACAGTACAGATGTTTATGGATTTGCAATGATGATG